TATCCTGGGTGGGTCTCACATAATTAGGTGAGCCTCTTAAAGGAACGGGCTCTTCCTGGCAAAGAGATTTGCAGAGAGGGAGTCATCCGGAGAGAGGGTTTGCAAGGCAGGCTTTGCAGGTGAAGGGGACACGTGGTAAGGGACGCATGTGGCCTGGGGGAGCCAAGGGCAGTCCCCACTCACAGCTGGTTGGGGAAACGGGGACCTCGGTCCTCCAGCCACACAGAAACGACCCGAGTGAGCCTGAAAGAGGATCCCGAGTGCCAGCCTGAGAACACAGCCGGCGGACACAGTGACTGCAGCCTTGCAATACCTGGAGCAGGAAACTTACACCCGCATTTCCAACCCATAGAGCCGCGAGCTAATAAATGGGTATTGTTTAAGCCACGGTCACAGAAGCAGATGCTGGATTCTTTCAGCCACGTCATGTGACCTGGATCATTTCCTCCTGAACACATTTTACCCCTTTACCTCTCTCTTCTCGTTCTCCTTCTCTGACCCTTCCTTTCTGTGTTTCTCTGGGAGCCCCGTGTCCCTGGCCACCCCCCAAGAGCTGGTGATACCCAGGAGCGTGGCTCAGCCGCCCTCGGGACGTCATTGCACTTGCGCGCCGTGTCCTCCTCCTTGACCTCCTCCGTGTCTGTCCTCCTCAGTCTGGGGCTGCTGCTTGCACCCCGGACTCAGCGTGGTCACAGCTGGACTCGTCCCCACCTCCTCCCACTGCCACCACGTCACCTTTTCAGGCGCCTCTCTCTGGATTAGAACCGGGTCCTCACATCATTGCCTGGATCTGACCTCTCCTTAGAGCGGGAGCAGTGTCGAGGGCCCCCAGCCCATCTAGGCGAAATGTGAAGCTGTTTGTTTCCCTCCCATAAGAAGGGGGGAAAACAACCTTTCAGGTTGAAGAAAGGGCTTTCACGCATCGTATTAATGTGTTCATCTGTCTGGATGCCAATGCAGTTGTAAAACGTGGTTGTAAATATTTGCGTGTGGAGGAGAGAGGCCCGTGGAAGCTGAAGGGCCCACGAAGGCACAACACAGTCCTGACGCCACCTTATTTCTAGAGAAGCAGGCGTCTGCACGGGCAGTGGCCGGCATCACCCCGAAAGCAGGGAAGGTGTTTTTCGAGGTGGTCTCTACGGATAGATGTCTTCCAGCTTTCGTTACCAGGAGGGGTTGCACATCGCCGGTGATTTGGGGCTGCTGCTGTGGCCACCTCAGCCTCGGCCGGGGGTGGCTGGAGCTGGGAGGCCCCCCTTGCCTTCAGCTACTTGCTCCATGTGCTCCGGTACTTCCCTTGCGACGAGTGGGCGAGGCCAGTTTCTGGAGTGCGTGTGGCGGATTCTCTGGCACCCTGGCTCCGTTCTGAGCTGGAAGGCCACCCCAGCCGGACTGTGGCAGGTCCGTGTAACCCCTGCGTGCCACCCCGCACCCATTCCCGAGGACGTCCATGCTTCCGGAGAGCAAAGAGGGAGGGAGAACACGCTGCTCTGAGCAACCGAATCTGGTCTGGAAATCAAAGAGGCGACATTTTGAAGGCGCACCATGCTTTGAGGCCCAGGTTAGCCAGGCGCCCGGGCAGTCTGCCTTCCAAAGAACCTGCATTAGTGCTGAGAAGGAGTAGATGAGGCTCTGGGTCACCCAGTGCATCTGGCAGGAAGATGTGATTCTCTCTAGATTATGATGAGATCCAGGAGACAACCAGGGTTCTCTGAAGCCTTTGCTGTAGGGACTCAAGCCGAGCAGTGTTCTTTTTTTTTTTTTTTTTTTAACTTTCTTTTACTTATTTTGAGAGAGACAGTAGGTGAGGGGCAGAGAGAGGGAGGGAGAGAGAGAATGCCAAGCAGGTTCCATGCTGTCAGCGCAGAGCCTGACGCGGGGCTCGAACTCACAAACCGCAAGATCATGATCTGAGCCGAGATCAAGAGTTGGACACTTACCTGACAGAGCCACCCAGGCATCCCGGAGACAGTGTGATCCTAATGTAAGAGTCAGAGCCGCTCCCGCCAGTCTCCCCTCCTGTGACAGATGAAGGGCTGCGTGTTTATCAGGGGAGATCGTTGTCTCCTGTGCAACTTTGCTGGGGTGTCTGAGGTAGGCTGGTGTGCATCTCTGTTCCACTCTTTGGTGCTGACGCATTTCCTCTGCATCTGAAGCTCAGACCCAGCTAAACACGAAAGGTGTGAAGGAAGGCTCACCATCTCAGCAGCTGTTGAGCCTGGCTTTCTCTAGGTGTTCAGACCCCCCACCTGGCTTGTCCTGGGGCCTCCCGGAGCCACCCGTTCAGCGTATGGGTCGCTCTCAGTGTTTGCGAGGGTCGTGATGCTTGACCAGAGTGTTTCCTAGCCGTTCGTGTTCAGGCATCCTGGTTCTGCCTTGGAAAGCTCTGAATTGCCATCCGCAGTACAGCCCTCTGGCCCAAAGAGGCGCTTCCGCTGTTCCTGATCCAGGTTTGGTGCCTCCCCCTCCCTTATGGGCTGAGTTGTGTCCCTCAGGTGCATGTGTTTTAGTCCTTACCCCCCAGGACTGCAGAATATAACTATATTTGGAGATAGGACCTGTAAAGAGTTAATTAATTCATGTTAAAAAGATGTCATTGGCAGGGGCCCTGATCTCACATGACTGGTTTCCTCCAAGAAGAGACAGGACCCAGGCACATGCAGAGGGACGACCATGTGAACATACAGTGAGCAGAGGCCTCAGGAGAAACCAGCCTCAGACCTACAGTGTCCAAAACTGTGAGGAAGTACATTCTGTTGTTTAAGCCATTAGGTCTGGATTAGCGGATGGATCCATCAACCCCTCGCACCTCTCACCAGTCGTAGAAAGAGTGGTATCAGAAGAACCGATTGTGGTTTGACCCGCGGAGAATGAGACAATCCCCAGCCATGTTGTTAATAAGCCAGGATCCCCTTAACTTGGCTGGTCATGGCATCCAGGGACCGTCTCCAAAGGCTTTAGTGTTTGTCTTCTCCAACTATTCTTGCTAAGTCACGTTTCTTGTGTCCTATGCTAGAATGCTGTTATTTTTTGAACTTGGTTGTGGGATTTGACATTCAGTCCTGTTAAACTTGGCCTGCCTTGACCGCCTCCATCCCTGGGGGCCGGGGGGAGGGGGCTTTAGAAACCATGCTGGGTGACATGGTGGGCCTGAGGGGTTCCGGTGACAGTCTTCCCATTTCCTGGTGGAGGATTTACTTTTGGAGACACACGGGACAAAGCTAACTGTCCCTGGGACAAAGCTAACTGTCCCTGTGGTGGATTTCAGGACACGCGGGGCCCAGGCGTGGATGTGATGTAATTTCAGGCAGGGTATCTGGGAGAGGCGGGTCCGAATCTGAGCCCTGGGTTCAGAAGTCGTGGTAGTGGTCATAAGAGTGGGGCTTTGCTGAAGGAGAGAAGACAGGTTCCGAGAAGACGGCCTAGCTCTGCTGGAATCACATGTGACATGTAATAGGGATGGAGATTGGCTTCTCTGTCCCTGTGTTTTCCTCTCTATCAAACGGATTCCTTCTGGGAATTGAGGTGGAAAAGGCAGAGAGGCCCCAAAGTGAAATGTCAGAGTTGTTGCCAAGTTATCTGCAAAGGTGTTCTGTATCATCGAGGCATTACCTGCCAGGCTGCAAGAAAGGAGGGTCCTCCCTGAGGACGTCTCGGGTGAGTGAGTGAGTGAGTGAGTGGGACAGGATTAACCCTCGGAAGATGAGCTGCTTTTAAAATTAGACTTACATGGGGTGCCTGGGGCGGCTCAGTCGGTTAGGCCTCCGACTCTTGGTTTGTGAGTTCAAACCCCACGTCAGGCTCTGTGCAGGTGGCATGGAGCCTGCTTAGGATTCTCTGTCTCCCCCTCCCTCTGTGCCCCTCCCCAGCACTCTCTCTCTCTGTCTCTCTCTCTTTCTCTCTGTCTCTCTCTCCTTCTTTCTCTCAGAATAAATAAATAAACTTTAAATAAAATTAGGCTTTATTTCTAGAACATCAGACACTGTGTTTTGCAAGTGATCATAGTTCTCTGGCCAGACAGTTATCCCTCCCTGGGGCCATGTTGGTTTTTCATAGCAGAGTATCATTGGCTGTCTGCATGGGCAAGCCTGCCCTCAACAGTTCCGTGCCTCAGGACGAACAGGGCTAGCCTCATTGCCAACCAAGTGTCTGTTGTCTCTAGGCACTGGACAGGCACAAGTGAGCACTATTAGCTTGTGAATGCTGCCCGTAAAGGCATGTAGAACATTCCCCAAGAACTTTTCTCCCTCACGGAGATCACTAGGTAATACCCAGATGATAGATTCTTCATGACTCGGTCAGTCATTGGGAGACCCATACTTTTCTTGCATCTATTCCCATTCCCTGTGATGACCGCTTGGGTGATGTTCATGGAAGATGTTCATGCCACCACAGAGAGTTGAAGAATTGCTTGCCAATTCCAGCACGTCCTCTTTGCTGGTCCTGGCACCTCAGGTGAGTTTTTAATCCCTGATCCTGTCTCCTCCTCTGCCGCATGAGGTGACTGCTACCTCTTCTGCCTCTGTGATGGCTTCTGAAAAGAATAAGGAGTAACTGCAGATTCACTTTGTGAATTAAAATCTGTGTTCAAATGGAAAGGACGCAGATAAGTGTATCTCTTCCAGGTGACGTAGCCGTTAGCTTATATTCATTGTATGCTCAAGTCCCTCCCGTGCTTCTGGACTGGGGGATGTTTGGATTGACCTCAGCTCCCAAATTTATCACGTGTGATCATTTGTCCCTTTTCTCCTCCTACCTTGACATTTCCAAACTGAAAAGTCTGGGCTGAGCCACCAGCTGCCTAGGTTACAGGGTGACCTTGGGAATGACCTGGGGCCTCTGCGGGCTGACGAGGTGATGGGGTCGTAGGGACTGTGGAACTGGTGGCTCAAGGAAGAGGTGGCTTTCCCACCCATTTTTGGCCCAGCGACAGCCACCTGTGCTTCCCCAAAGCCTTAGGTCCCAGGGCTGACACTGACTCCCGTGTGTTCCTGTTTAAGATTTACGTCCACTTGAAGGAAGGCGGGGGCCCAGATGGGCTGGATGCGCTCAAGAATAAGCCCCAGCTGCACAGCATGGTCGCCCGGAGCCTGTGCCGGAACGCGGCGGGCAAGAACTACATCATCTTCACGGGGCCCAGCATCACCAGCCTGAGCCTGTTTGAGGAGCTGGAAAAGCAAGGTTTGTCGCAGGGCGGTCTGGTCCAAGAATGGCCCCTCGCCCCTGGAGGGGTGGTGGGAGAGTCTGGAGGTGCACGTGCATAGCAACTGGCACGGACCATAGGCCACTGGGCCAGGAGGGGACACGGGGGTCTCAGCCTGCCGCATGCCTGCCTGGACCCTGCCGGGCACTGGTGATCCACAGGGATACTGGCCACAGGCTTGCAGTGTGTGGGGGGCGTGTCGGCCCAAAGCTCCACCCAGGGCACATTTCGTCCTGTCCTTTGTTGTGAGACTGTGGCCGTGGAGGGGTTCTTCTAGTGTCTTAGTCCGTTCGGGCTGCTCTACCAAATTACCACAGACTGGGCAGCTTATAAACAGCACACATTCCTTGCAGTTCTGGAGGCTAGAAGTTCAAGATCAGGGCGCCAGTGTGATTGGGTCTCTTCTAGGTTGCTGATCTCATGTGACCAAAGGCACAAGGGAGTTCTCTGGGGTCCCTTGCCTTTTCATCTTTTTTTTTTTTTTTAATGTTTTTTATTCTTGAGAGAGAGGAAGACAGAGCATGAGCAGGGGAGGGCCAGAGAGAGAGGGAGGGAGAGCCAGAATCTAAAGCAGGCTCCAGGGTCCAAGTTGTCAGCACACAGCGGATGCGGGGCTCGAACTCACAAACCGCGAGATCATGATCCAAGTCGAAGTCGGATGCTTAGCCGACCAAGTCATCCAGGCACCCCATCTGGGGTCCCTTTTCTTAAGGTCACTGCTCCCTGTGCATGAGGGCTCCACCCTCGTGACTCAGGCACCTCCCAAGAGCCCTGCTGCTTAACACCATCACCTTGGGCACTAGGCTTTCAGCAGAAGAATTTGGGGGGAACACACACATTTGATCTGTAGCTCCTACAAAGGTTCTGAAACCTGGACTCACCCGCATCTATAATGTGGTCCTTCCAGTTGATACAGATGTCACAGAGAATTATGTAGAATTAATACAGGCAGCAGTACAGGGGGCCTCAGAACATTCTTAGTGTGCCATGGTGCTGGCATATTTCATTCATCTGGTCAGAGATTAGGAAGCCTTCTGTGGCTCTGGCACCAATGGGGGTTGTAGAAAGAGATCTGGACCAAGTCAGGGAGCCTGACAGAAAGCTGTATATCCTTTGGTTTGTCCTACATTTGGGGGGATTTATATCGAATCCACTCGAGAGAAACATAAAAAGCCTCTCCTCCGCTATGGCAGCCACTGAAATTGCAGACCCATTGCTTAGCAACAGATCAGGCATCTGACCTTAAAACAAAACCCTCACAAGTGATGGGGAGCCAGCAGCTTCTGACCTTGACCTCAGCCACTGTGACGAGGAAGCAGCCCCTGGACTGTGTGCCCCACTGGCCCTGGCTGTGTCTGACTCACCGGCAAAGTCCAGTGCCCAACAGGGCTCAGTGTTTAATTGCTGGGAGAACTCAGGGTGGAGAGATCAGACCACGGGAAGAGGGGCTGTGGAAGCCACGTTGGAGAAAATGGGCCCTAATGAGTGTTAACTAGCCACGCTGGAAGAACTATGAGCTCCCATGTTAGAGCATGTGGTAAGAGCCAGGGTGCCATCCCTGCTCACCCGCTCGTTCAAGTCCAACTGTGGGTGCGTGGCCATGAACCCTGGGGCCCTGATAGCATTCGCGTGCCGTTGGGGCCACCACGCCTCACACAGTATGTGCTCCCATCACCTGGACTGAGAGTCAGGTGGTGCATGTTTTCCAGGTAGGGCTGGTGTGGGGCAGAGTGAGGGTGCCCAAGGACTGTCACGGGCCATCAGTGCTGCTGCATGGACAGCTGGCCATGCTGGTGTGTGATTCTGGGAAGAAAAGGATGCTCCCCAGCTCAGGGAATCAGGGAAAGGCTGGAGGAGAATCTTCTAGTGGGAAGAACATAATTAGACATGGAATTGGAGTTTTCCCAAGAATGGGCAAAGATTTCATTGCCCATCTTCTGGAAGCTTCTAGAGCTCCTGCATACTTCTTGCACGCCTCGACTGTGATGACAGACATCTGGGCTGGAAGTTCCCCATTGTCCCCTCACTGGTGGCTGCATGGGCCCCCAGGGAGTCTGGCTGCACTGGACGGGGCAGGTGCCCTCCAGGGCATTCTCACGGGCAGCCAGGATTGAAGAAGGGCATCGTAGCTGAGAGTCTGGCCGTCCCTCCGCGGGTGCACAGAAACCACTTTGTAGAAGACCCAGAAGAAGACGTTGATATAATAAACACTATTTTCATAAAGAGGCAGATTCATGAGACTTGGGTGCTGTTTGGATTTTCTTCCCCTCTTACCAAATTGTTTGGCTGATTGCGTACATGGCCTCAGCGGGAGGATTTAAAACATCAGTTTTCCTTGTTCATCGAATCCTCCCCACTGTTTTAAAAATAGTTTCTTCCTTTTAAGTATTAAGGCTAGGGTCGTTGGAGGAGTTCAGGGTACACAGGTGTGAGTGGCCAGCAGCCCCCTGCTTCAGAGCAGTGAGACTCGATCATGGCACCCAGGGGCTCTTCCTCTGTACCCACTGCTGCTCATAAGGCAGTGGGAACGGGGTGGTTCCTCTGGTCACACCCTTGCCCCAGGGCAGGCTGGAGACCCAGGGATGAGGGGAGCAGGCACACAGGTCATAGAACGTTTCAAGTTAGTGATGATGTCATGCCAGCCTTCAGTGAGCTTCAGTCTGTGATGGAAGAGCCCCGGGATGAGACCGTCCCCAGTAACTTCAGTCAAAAGTGCCGCTTCACGTCCCCTCCAGACTTCCAGACTGAGGATGCTGGCTGCGAGGAGAAGCTGACTCCTCTGGGCCCTCCATGGCCACCTTGACCCGCTCAGTGGGGCAGGCCCGAGGGTGGGCCGGGCTAGGAAGGGCCTGGCGCCCAGGGCGGAATTTAGCAAAGCCTCCTTGTCCACGTTGACCTCTGCCCGCAATCCCTCCTGCCTCCGTGGGACCTTCTGTGCATTAGAGGCCACACGGTAGCTCCTTCTCCCTCAGGGTGCAGAGGTTTCTAGAAGCAGGTGAGCAGTTGGGAGGTTAGGTGCACTGAGCCTGGCACATAGCGCTTTAACAAGACTCCTTTTGTTACTGCTGATTCACTGCGATGGTCTCATGTGTGATCCTAAATGTTTATTTTTTTATTTTTTGAGGGGGGAGGGGCAGAGAGGGGGTGAACAGAAGCTCCTTGCGGACAGCAGAGAGCCTGATGTGGGGCTTGAACTCAGGAGCCGTGAGATGGTGACCTGAGCCAAAGTCGGACACTTAAACCGATGGAGCCACCCAGGTGCTTGGTCTCACGTGTAATCTGAAACATACTTCTAGAAGTCCTGGGAGAGAGCCCCTCTGGGATAGAAGCCTCCAGACTGCAGCGGTCCTTCCTGCAGGGAGGGCCTGTCTCCCAGTCGTCAGCCCCAGAACAGGGCAGGCCCGTCCTTTCCACTGGTGTGCGTGAGCATCCCTGATCGTGTGGATGCGGTTTTGTGTTCGTCTCCTCCCTGCAGAGATCTACTGCTGCGGCCTGCTCAGCTCCAGGAAGAGCGACTGCACCGGCCTGCCCCCGTCCATGCTGAGCAACCCCGCCACGCCCCCGGCCCGGGGCCAGCACCGCATCAAGATGAAGGGGAACATGTCCCTGATCTGCTGGTACAACAAAGGGCACTTCCGCTTCCTGACCAACGCCTACTCGCCCGTGCAGCAAGGTGGGCCCCGGCGGGGGGTGGTGGTTGGTGCAGCCCAGGTGTCCGGTGACCCCCGTCACCGTGAGCTTGCCGGCCGCTGCACCTGACTGGGGGGCCGACACAGCTCCCATTGCTCGTCAGCAGCCGAGAGAAGCAGCAAGCGACCAGGATGGGGTCTGTGGTCACGCCAAGGGGTGTATGTGTCCGGCACCCACGTGGTCACTTTGGCCTCGAGGATTCTGTGGAGGACATGTCTGAAGGGAGGGGAAGCATCAGCCAATTTTATTGGCTCGGTGCCTTCCTCCGAGGTTAACCGCTGGGGTTGGGGTGGTGAGGTGATTCTGTCATTCATTTTCCTTGGGGCTTAAAATCCATAAGGCGCCTGCAGTTAAAGTGACTACAGCTACCGCCTCTTTAACCCTCTGACGGGGGAACTCAGGTGACAGAGGTGCCTACCAGACATCGTCACGTCACGTCGTGTATTCAAAAATCACTTGTAATTGTCTGAGTCAAGAAATGTTTCCTGTGGAAGGAGCACTGCAGGGGGCTCAGTTGTGGGAGGGGTGTGTGTGTATGTGGTGGGAGGGATGTGTGTGTGGGGGGGATGTGTATGTACTTATGCACATGGTGTGTGTGTGTGTATCTGTGTGAGTGTATGTGTGTCTGGTGTGTATGTGGTATATATCAATGTGATGTGTATATATGTGAGTGCGTGTGTGTGTGTGTGTGTGGTGTGTATGGTGCGTATCTATGTGATGTGTGTCTTGTGTCGGTGGGGGGATGTGTGTGTGCTTAATGTCCGTTCATTTATTCCCTCACTCCCCCACCCACGCACCTAGGCCCTGTTCCATTCCAGTGGAGATTACAGTCTGGGGATGCAAGCCCATGGGACTTAGGCTTGGAGAGGTCTGGAGTGCTGCCCGTTACTGTGTCAAGGTCACTTGGGGGAAACGTTTGGGCTTGACCTTGCAAGCAGAAGGGCAAGTTAGAATTGGACTTTCATACTCTGGTGATTGGGCAAAGGCCCTCCCAGGGAGAATGTTCGGGAATAGGGTATAGGAGCCGCCTCCCTCCACATTATGCATAACAAGTGGCAAATCATGCACTAGGATTTAAGACGAGGATTTAAGACAACAGAACCTTAAAAAATCTCAATCTCAAAGGCTGGGAGCCTTAAATCCATCATCAAGGGAAGCAGCAAGGAGGATGTTGATGCGGAAGAAGGGAAAATTGGTAGGGTTGATTTTTAAGTATGCCGAAACTTACTGTTTGTGTTTCCTTCCATTATGGTTTCCATTTCTAAAGTGGTCTGTTATAAATCACAAAGTCCACAATCTTAGATGCCCTTAAAACTCCCAGGTGGTGTGCCCTTGGCATGGCCCTGGCCCCTCCCTAAGCACCTCTGGAAGCTTCCCAGGATGGATGGCACGGGTGCCTGTGAGCCAGACCCACTCGGGAGCCGACAGAGCACTGCGGGGGTGCTCCCAGCCCGGGCGCCAGGAGGCAGGGAGGCGGCTTGGAGAGTGACGGCTGGGTGGCCCGCTGCTCCTCCCCACAGGAAATCCTTTCACTAGTTCACGTCTTAGAGTGTTTTAATGTTTATTTATTTAGAGAGAAAAGGAGAACACAAGCAGGGAAGGGGCAGAGAGATAGAGACAGAGTGAGAGCAGGGGAGGGGCAGAGAGAGAGGGAGACACAGAATCCGAAGTAGGCTCCAGGCTCAGAGCTGTCAGCACAGAGCCCAAAGTGGGGCTTGAACTCACCAACAGTGAGATCATGACCGGAGCAGAAGGTGGACGCTCAACAGACTGAGCCACCCAGGCACCCCTACGGTTAGAATTTTTAACATCAAAATGCTTTTCACTTTGCATGGGCAGATCTGTTGGTCACGTTCTTTGTTCTTATACGAGCTTTAAAAGTCCCTGCTCTGTCCCAAGGCTGGAGGAATGAGAGGTCATCTGGTGGTTTCATAGTGTGATTTTGTGCTCTTCACAGCAACCTGTTGGCATCAGTTGGGTTTTTACTACTTTTTCTTTTTAAGTGGCCCCACCTCTGTGCCTGAACCCTTTATTGAATAATTTTTTTCTTTTTCTACTTACTTTAAATATTACCCAGAGGATGAAGTCTCAAATATTATAAAGACTGCCTTTCAGGTTTATATTCTCTTCTGCTGTCTCACACACACACATAACATACACACACACACACACACACACACACACACGTCTTCTAAAAGTTGAGCAGAATTTCCAATTTTAGAAAATATCTAACTAGTTAGGAACATTTTAGGAGTTGGTTTATTGTTTCTTCTGGATCATAAGGAAAAGCATCCCTTCTTTCAGAGAGCACGAGCACGTGCACAGGCTTCGAAAGTTATGAGCTGTCACATTTCCAGGGACATCCACATGGGGAGCCAGACCCTTCTGCTCCTGTTCTGAAATCCACTTCGGATCTGTCATCTCCTTGCCAGAGTCTTTGCCCACTGGGGGTTCAGGAGACTAACACGCATGCAGAATGTGCTCATTGGACATGACTAGACCTAGTCAGGTCTAGACTCATGCGCTCAGACTCCGAATGTCAGAAAGACTGCCCGCCTTACCGCAAGTGGCCTAAGGGAGGCGGTAGGCATGCTGCCACTGCCGCGTGAACTCGCGCGTTTCTCTCACGGGGTCAGACAGACCTGCGTGGTGTCACAGACACATACGCCAAGTGCGCACGCCAATATCCAAATGCGTATAGCTGCAAGCGTGCAGGGTCCACCCAGGGTGCCCGTGGGCTACGTGTAAGACCTCCCTGGTTGTGAAGTCCACAATGCCTGGTACATATCAGACAGTCTCTTGTCAACATGTCCAATGTCAGAGCCTTTTAGTCCTCTGAAAGGGACATTACACCAGGGAGGAAGGTGATCTGGTTATTTTGTTGGTGTTTTTTAATTTATGTATTTCAAGTGAGAGAGAGAGAATGAGCACAAGCAGGCAGAGAGAGAGAAGAGCCAGAATCCTAAGCAGGCTTCTAGCTGTCAGTGCAGAGCCCGACGTGGGGCTCAATCTCACAAACCATAAGATTATGACCTAAGCTGCAGTCAGCCGCTTAACCAGCTGAGCCACCTGGGCATCCCTGAAGATGATCTGGTTTATAAAATGGGGGATGTGCTCAAGCAGACTAGTGCCTGCCCAGGTTTGGAAGCCACCCTGCTGAGATTTCAAGCAGAAAGCGCTGTAAGTTCAAAAGTATGAGGGGGTAGGAAGGATCCAAAGGGCCGGAGCAGATCACCTCTGGCTGGGGAGACCTGGGCCACTGCAGTCCAGGAGCTGTTTCCCTGCTGTTGCTGAAAGCCAGGAGCCCAGAGGTGCGGGCTGTGGGGTGCCCAGCGACAGGGCGGCCCCCAAAGTCCTCCGCAGCGTGGGAGCCCAGCTCACTGGAAACCTGGTGACTCACAGTGAGTCCCCTCATCTGGGGAAAGAACAGAGAGACTCTCTGTACAGGGATGATCTAATGGATGTGCCCATATCCAGGAGGGCTCCGTGGAGCCACTTTAGACCCAGAATGAAGCTGTAATTTGGGACAAATTAAAATGGAGCCGGGAAACCTGCCAAGGCCTGGGCTTGAGTGTGAGGGCTGGGGTGGGGTGGGGTGGAGTGGCTGAGATGAGGGACCCGGAATAGGCCTGCTGGGGGAGGGTGTTGGAGAGGAATTGCCCACCCTGTGCCCACCCTGCCTGGGTGGCTGGATCACCAGACAGTAGAACATCTGTCAGTGGAGAGGGGGTTCATAACCAAGCAGAGTCCCAGAACCCCCCCTGGACAGGAAGAAGCCCCTGACATCAGCATTGAGGTCCTCCGACTCCCAAAGAGCTTTAGGAAATGTGTTGCCTAGGCCCCCTGCCCAACACCACATCTCTAGAGGCAGGGCCCCAGCATCTCCGTTTCTCCCAAGTCCTCCAGGGATTTCTTTGTGTGAGAAGCCAGTATCGGAGGGATGGGTGGAGGACGGGCACCCGAAGAAAAAGAGCGTTCCCAGCTCAGGGCTCCATCTGCAAATGGATCCGTGCAGTCCTGTCTCCTGCGGGGCCCCCGGGGAGAGGGCGGAAGCCCCTCTAGATGAAGTCCCTTGTGCTTGAAGGGACCTGCCACTTGTGTTCCAACAGTATTCTTTCGAGTACACTCTCACAGTCCTTCAGACTGATCCCTTATTTATTTTTTCTTTTTTAAACTTTTATTTAAAATTTCGTTAGTTGAGGGCGCCTGGGCAGCTCAGTCCGTTAAGCGACCGACTTCAGCTCAGGTCATGATCTCACAGTTCCTAAGTTCAAGCCCTGCATCAGGCTCTGGGCTGATAGCTTGGAACCTGGAGGTAGCTTTGGATTCTGTGTCTCCCTCTCTCTCTGCCCCTCCCCTGTTCACGCTGTGTCTCTCTCTCTTTCAAAAATAAATAAGCATTAAAAAATTTTTTTAAATAAAATAAATTCTAGTTATTTCACATACAGTGTAGTCTTTTCAGGGGTAGAATTCAGTGATTAACCACTTATGTATAACATACATCACATGCGCCACCCTCAGTGCCCATCCCCCATCTAGCCCATCCCCCACCCACTTCCCTCCATCAACCTTCAGTTTCTTCTCTGTTGCAGAGACTCTCTTATGGCTGGCTTCCCTCTCTTTTATTTCCCCTTCCCCTATCTTCATCCGCTTTGCTTCTTAAGTTCCACATAGGAATGAAATCATACGGTATTTGTTTGCCTCTGCCTGACTAATTTTGCTTAGCATTTGCTAGCTCCGTCCACATCGTTGCAGCCGGAAAGATTTCATTCCTTCTGATGGCTGAGTAGGACTCCATTGCAGACACACACCGCCTCTTTACCATTCATCTTACCATGCATCTAGGCTGATCCCTTTAAAAAAAAAAAAAAAAAAAAAACCCACACCAGAAGATGGCGCTGTTCTCATAGTCCCGTCAGTGCTGGGGGAAGGCGGTGGTCAGAGGAGATGGTAGTAAAGCCTGCCCACGCTTGAGTGCACGCAGCCCTTTGGAAGAATGTGTTCTTTCATGTCTTCTGTGTTCTCTCTGGAGGGCAGTCGTTGGCCCCGGGGGCAGTCCTGGGAACTAGGTGGTCCCACAGGAGGGTGAGGAGGGCTCGCTGGTCTTTCCTTGCTCCTCACACCCGTCAGGGGGTCAGTGGGACGTAGGCATGTTGCTGAGAACTGAGCGGTGCCCGGGATGCATTTATTAGAGGAAAGGCATTTGAAGACATGTGGGGAGGGGAGGTAGAGTTTCCCGAGTGGCCGGGTGCAAAAGGTGCTTGCCATCCCTGAGTCCGCAGGGACCCCCACAAGTCCTGGGGTGCATGAAAGGAGGAGCCTCGGGTGTGGAGGGCAGCCTGTAACTTCTGCCGTGATAGAGGCGGGAAGAGGCAGAAAGGACTCCGGCTTCTTGTAGGGAGGAGGAAGGAAGGAAGGAAGAGTGAGTGCTGTGTCTCCCCTCTGCTCTCCCAAGGCAGGCGCACCCCTCCCTGGGACCCCTTAAAGCCACCTTCAGTCCCTCTTCGCTCTGTGTGCCTGCAGGGCTCCTGTGCGGTGCACGCTGTGTCTGGCTGGAAGACCTTTGTGCTCCCCTGACTTCAATGTTCTCCATTCCTCTGAGGCTTTCCGGGACTGGTGTCCACCTTTCCCTCCTCCTCCCCCCTCCTCCCCTACCCCTCCACTCCCTGTTGCTTTTTGTTTTTTTGTTTTTTTGTGTGTGTGGTAGTGTTGTTTTTTAGTTTTTTTTTAATGTTTATTTATTTTTGAGAGAGAGAAAGAAACAGCGTCAACAGGGGAGGGGCAGAGAGAGAGAGAGAGACATGGAATCCGAAGCAGCTCCAGGCTCTGAGCTGTGAGTACAGAACCCCACGCGGGGCTCGAACTTGTGAACCAAAACATCATGACCTGAGCCAAAGTCGGGCACTTAACCAGTGAGCCACCAGGCATCCCTCTGCTCCCTGTCTCATGTCGGGATGGCCAGGCAGGGGGGAGAGAAGCACATCTGTCATGGGGCTCGCAGGAGATGCTTCGGATGGTCGTTTCTCATCTCTGTGCTCCGCAGGCTTCATCATCAAGAGGAAGAGCGTGGAGATCCCCTGCCCCTTGGCTGTGGAGGCGTTTGCCGCCCACCTCAGCTACATCTGCAGATATGACGACAAGTATAGCAAGTAAGTGGCGCGGCCTGGAGTCTGCAGGGTGCCCAGTGGCCCCCACGTCACAGTGGACACGTGAAGCCTCCGTGAGGCAAAATCCTGAGTCCCGGCCTGTCTCCCAGGCTCGCCCTCACATCCCCCTCCCTTCTGGGCGCCCTGCCTCCTTCCCCGCCACCCATGCCGCCCCTGTGCCCTTCCCTCTGCTCCCTGGGTCTTGCCGTCTCTCAGCACTCGGCCCAGAGCCTGCACCCGCTGTCCCCTGCCCAGACTGCCCTCCTCCTCCCCCCACACCCCTGCGCCGTGGGGGGGGGGGAGGGGCTCTCATCTGACACAGGCACGTAGCGTAGATGGGATGCGTTTGCCGCACGCCCGCGGCACTGTAACAGGGGCTCAGGGAGTGATTGCCAGGGGTCCTGAGCGTGACTGCGACGTTGCCAGGGTTGGGCCTCACCACCTAGAAGGAGGGCGGAGTCACCCAGAAGCCAGTGGCACTTAGTCGGCCCTCTTGGAGGGTAATGTGCTGGGCTGCTCCCTGGCAGAGAAAACTGAGGCCCCAGGGGCTCCCAGAAAGCTCAGCTGAGGCTGGAAAGGCGGCCGCACTCCCCAGGGAGTCAGGGAACAGATGTTTCCTGAACTGTGTGCTCAGCACCTGCTCATCTCATGAGGTCATTGCAAAGAAATCTGCGTTGATATTGCAGACACGCTGGGTCTGCTCTACGCTGGTGGTGGTGAGGGTGCTGACCCTCGGGCACTTCTCGGGGGGGCAGGGACAAAGTGCAGAACGAAGGGCACAATGCAGGCCTGAGCCCCAAGCCGGCTCCCGGCCCTGGAGGGGCACCACCTTCCATCTCAGGGCAGAGGCCTCCCTGACTTGACGTCCGTCCTTGATCTGAAGGGAAAACGGGGGTGGCAAAGAGACATGCACTCCACAGGACAGGGACGCACCGCAGAGGCCTGCAGCTGAGGGTGAACTTGACCTTGGGAAATGGAAGCAGTTCAGTGTGCATGGGACACGGCGTCTGAGAAGGGCCCATAGCAAAGAGGGAAGTCCCCCAGGCCCTCTTCCCTTGGGGCTTCTGAGCCATAGAAGGCTGGGCTCCCGGGTCCAGGATCTCTTCCGATGACTCCCCCCACCCCCGCCCCACCTAATTCTCTGATAGAAATTGTCTTATCTTCTTTGTCTTAAGAAAGTTTACTGTGACAGAGCCTCAGTGAGAGCTGACTCCCGGCCTGCTTTCTTTGAACCCTCCCAGCCGGGTTCCCGCCCCCAAGGCCCCTCTGTGGCAGCACGGACCGTTATGTGGCCTTTCGGGAATATCTCCCCTGACCTGAGCCCCCATGAACCATCGGGCTCAACCTTTCCTATCCCCCTGCGCCCGCAGGTATTTCATTTCTCATAAACCGAACAAGACCTGGCAACAGGTGTTCTGGTTCGCCATCAGCATCGCGATCAACAACGCCTACATCCTGTACAAGATGTCAGACGCCTACCACGTGAAGAGGTACAGCCGGGCGCAGTTCGGCGAGAGACTGGTGAGGGAGCTGCTGGGTCTGGAGGAAGCCTCCCCAGCCCACTGATGCGGGGCGGCTGGGCCTGGTGAGGACCGGGCCCTGGAGGCCGGAGGAGGGACAGAGCCTGCCGTTCTGACCTGCCCAGCCGGAGCCCTGCGGGCACCCCTCTCCCGCGCCTGGGGAGTGGCCCCAGCCTGGAGGGGTGCCCACGGCTTCCACGGGGACCAGGGTGGGCCTGGTCAGAGGACGGCCGCCGTCCAGGTTCCCATTCAAAGAAGAGCATGTCCTCCCTCCAGAAGAAGCCTCCCACCCAGGGCCAGGGCGGGCGCCTCACCCAGTCCCCACGTGCCGGCCGGGGCGCTGCATCCTCGGGACACCCGTGGAGCTCAGCTTGGCACAGGGGACCTGGGGAGGCCGTTGCCCGTGGTGGTGCCAGGGATGGGATGAGCCGTAGCCTGTCCTGCTAGAAATGCCTGCTGTGCAAAGATGTGAAAACATTTATGACACGGTTCAGTTTCCTGCCGCGTCCGATGGTGACCAAGGCAGGCAGAGGCGGGCGCTGCACCGCTGAGGCCGTGCAGGCGTGTGCAGGCGTCCAGAGCGCCCTCCGGCACCTGCCTCCTGCAGGCGGCTGGGAACGGGAAACGCAAACTGGGTGCCATTAAAACATAGGGGTGGAGTGGAGGAGCGGTCGCCTGTCCCGATGCGTAAATGAGGCGTTCCTAACTCATTTCATCTCCCTGGCTGGCGGGCGGGGGAGAAAGGGAAGATGCCAATGGAATCGCAGTGATGTGTGATGCTGTTTTTTATTTTTAAATATATCTTCAGGTTATTTTCTTACTGTTGCTTAAGATCTTCTGTAAAAGGAAAACGTCCCCCTTCTTTTCTGCCCCCTCCCCTCACCCTAGCTGTGACTGTTTGCAGGGTCACGGTTCGGTTTTCTGGGCCCCGTGACCGTGTCAGGACCAGAAAGGGCAGCCTGCTTCCAGAACAGACATCGCTCCCCTCCATCAGGGAGCACGGGGTGGTGGGGAGCCTGTGGCCCTTAAGCTTTGCCACAGACCTGATCGTTGGCAGAATTACTTGTTTGGGAAAACATGGAGCATGGCTGAAACACACACCAAAATGTCTGTGGGTAACATGGGCTCATTCTCTTGCCCCGTGTGTGGTAACCTGGCTGGGTTGGCCATCTGACACCATTGCCCCAGAGCCCCGCGGCTGGCCTGGGCAGAGCCCGGAAGGCGGCCGGGTGACCAGCTTCATTGGGTGCGATCTCCCCGTGGGACCGAGAGAAGCACACACCGGGCTGCTGGCACCAAGGGCTCCTCTACTTCCCAGGACATCTGGGGCTCCTTCTGAGCCCAGGCCCACGTGTGCCTGGGGGAGACCTCGGCCAGGGCGTCCCCTGTCTGACCGTCCCCCGTAGAGAAGAAGCGAATGATTCTTGGAGTTACACGATCCGTGTCAGCCCCGGTTTACGTAGCCCCCTCGTTTTGTTTTTGTTTTTACAAATGCAAAATCTATTCTACTCAGGCTTTGGGACTTTTTTCCTTGTTCACACTCAGTTCATTAAACGTGTTGCTGGCAGCATGCTCCCGAACCCCACGCCATTCCTGTAGCCTGCATTCGTGACGACATCCCCTCGCCCTGTGGTTTGAATTCGATGCCACGGATTGTAGGCCAAATTGTAAATTGTGTTTAAAAACACCTTCGCCGTGTCCTTTAATTGGATTGAAAGCACTTTTACCACATGGAGAAATATATTTTTAATTTGTGATGCTTTTCTACAAGGTCCACTATTTCTGAGTTTAATGTGTTTCCGACACTTAGGGAGACTAATGAAAGCTGATGAATTTTCTTTTCTGTCCAAATAAGTAAAGGAAAAAAATAAAAGTCTATTTAGATGCTGATTCTTTGTGAAGACGTGAATTTGTTTAACAGGGCAGGGACGAGGAGCACCTGGCTGGCGCAGCTGTTAGAGCACGCGGCTCTTGAACTTGGGGCTGTGAGTTCGAGCCCCATGTTGGGGGTCGCATATACTTAAAAATAAATAAATAAAAGGTCAAGGACAAAAGTACGGGCTAATTGACTTCTTGTTGTATAAGCTAGGGTGTATGATCTTAAACTGCTTGTAGTATCAAGCACCCCCGAGAGGCTTAAAAAAGAAATGCAATTAGGTCTTGACTTGTAGAAATAGGCCTCGATACCCTGGTTGTGTGAGTACCGCTGTATCTTAGGTGCCCGTGCGACTGAAGAAAATTCCCACCTGCCTTCCCAACGGGGGATTCCTCCTCTGTTCTTCTAGTTTGCGTTGTCGTCCACATTCACACAGAGAGGCACTCTTGTGACAGGCAGGTGGGCGACTTTGCGTCACCGAGGAACCAGAGGGGACTTACACCAGGTTAGCGCTCTGGTTTTTAAACGGTAACCACCTGTTTTCAGATAAATCCTTGAAGCGGTCATCAGTTCCGCTGGGTGCGTCGGAGCCCCGGAAAGGCTGGGAAGGGTTTCTGTTCTTCCGGAAGGACAGGGTGACATGTAGCCCATCTCCCGTCCCACAACCCCTCCAGCCACCCTCTGTTTGTTCCCCATATTTAAGAGTCTCTTATGTTTTTGACCCCTCCCTGTTTTTATATTATTCTTGCTTCCCTTCCCTTATGTTCATCTGTTTTGTATCTTCAAGTCCTCATACAAGTGAAGTCATATGATATTAGTCTTTCTCTGATTTCACTTAGCATAATACCCTCTAGTTCCATCCATGTAGTTGCAAATGGCAAGATTTCATTCTTTTTGATCATTGAGTAATACTCCATTATATATATATGTACCCTATCTTCTTTATCCATTCATCCATCGATGGACATTTGCAGTTACAAAATTCTTATTCCTTGCATTCCCCCGGTGGCTTATACTTGGTTCTAATTTTCTCCAGCCTGACACTTGGTGTGAGGGTTTGCCTGTCTCCGGTTAACTCTTAATGTCCCACACTCCTCTGCTAGGAAAGGGCCACAGCTTCAGCACAAAGCAGCTAGGAAGATGAGATGTTAGCTATTTTAATTAGCTCTCTCATTAGCCTTGGCTGTCTTTCTAAAAATGCATCTATTCCTCAAAAACTTTAGAAATAGTGCTTACTACCAGGTGTGCCTGTCTGGCTCAGTCAGTAGACCATGTGACTCTTGATCTCAGGGTCATGAGTTCAAGCCCCACCTTGGGCATAAAGATTACTTAAGGAAAAAAAAAAGAATTACTGTATGATCTAGTGATATGTTTTATTTTTTTATTATTATTTTTAATGTTTATCTTTGAGAGACACAGAGCGAGACCAGTGAAGGGACAGAGAGATTGGGAGACACAGAATCCGAAGCAGGCTCCAGGCTCTGAGCTGTCAGCACAGAGCCCAAGTTGGGTCTTGATTTCACGAACCGCTAGATCATGACCTGAGCTGAAGTCAGACGCTTAACCGACTGAGCCACCCAGGCATCCCAATCTTATTATTTTTTAATGTTTATTTATTTTTGAGAGAGACAGAGCATGAGTGGGGGAGGGGCAGAGAGAGAGAGACAGACACAGAATCTGAAATAGGCTCTAGGCTCTGAGCTGTCAGCATAGAGCCTGATGTGGGGCTCGAACTCACAGACTACGAGATCATGACCTGAGTTGAAGTCAGACACTTAACCGACTAAGCCGCCCAGGTGTCCCTAGCAATTCTTTTTTAAATTTGTGTGTGTGTGTGTGTGCGCACGTGTCTGCCCCTCCCCTGATTATGCTTTCTCTCAGAAATGAACAAATATTGAAAGAAATTTTTTTTAAAAAATCTGGAACTGTAGGATTATGAGTTGTTTTTTGTTTTTGTTTTTGTTTTAATGGAGGCATTTTGGAGTCATTAATGCCATACACAGTCTATTGCGGCTTTTTAAAGTGTGTCCCCTTATCAATACGTATCAGTGCTAATCGATAGGAGTACAGTATCCAAAGTGGGATAAATGCTGTACGAGATCCTGTACCCATCAGGCCATGAGTCCAGCCCTGGCCACTGTCCTACAAGACTTTGACCAGTGATGGGGTCCCAGAGGACGGTGGGTCCACATAGAAACCAAACGGTTGGGAAAACAGGGCGATTAGCTTGGTTGGTGACGCACTGACTCAGGAGGGAACATGACATGTATCTCTGGACTGCCTCGTCCCCTTCTCCGTGCGGCGCACGTCACCAGGAGGCGCTCGGTGGGGAAGCCATTTCCAAGGTGCCAAGCTGCCCAGCCCTGGGGCAGGACACCCCAGAGAGCAGGGGACACTGTCAGTTCCTGAATGTCTCCAGCCAGAGGCAGCTCGCCACACAGGAAGGTCCCAGAGGACATCCTGTGGGCAGGAGGTGGCCTTAACTCCGGGCTGCGGGCTCGAGTGGGACATCTTAACTGTCATCATAACTGACCATTGTCCTCTTAACTGAGAAAGAGCGGAAAATGGCCATGAAGCAAAGCCCTGACTCCTGGGCTCCTGCGCAGAGTCTATTTGGGGCGAAGAAGGAACCGAATTACGAAGACGATTGCCTCTTTCCGGAGGATGCCCGCGGCCAGCTCCCAGCTGCTCACCGTCTTCCTCTTCCTCAGATGAAGGTGCCCGCTTGTCCCAAGTTCAGGGGCGCCAGCCGTCAGCGGCAGGGATATCCATGTCAAAGAATCTGGAAAGATTGCCATTTTATCTGAAAATGCCCTTGCACCATTACGTTATCTTGTTTTTCCTTACAGTTTTCAGTTATGAATCTTTAGGAGGGGGGGCGCCTGGGTGGCTCAGTCAGTTAAGTGGCAGACTTCAGCTCAGCTCATAATCTGGCGGTCTGGGTTCGAGTCCCACGTCGGGCTCTGTGCTGACAGCTCAGAGCCTGGAGCCTGCTTCAGATTCTGTGTCTCCTCTCTCTCTGCCCCTCCCCTGCTCATGCTCTGTCTCTCAATAAATAAACATTAAAAAATTAAAAAATCTTTAGGAGGGAATTCGTAATCTTCTCATGAACTACACATATCTAGCCCTCAGGGGACGTCACACAACTCTGTCCCCATCCCTTTTGTGAAGATACAGCCTCCCCTTTTGTCATGACTTTGACTTCACACTAAGACATGCTTGCAATACATTTTTACCAGTTTTGTACCCCCCAAGCTCAGTGCTGAGTTCTAAAAGGTGAAGGATGGCATTTATGTATGTACATACACATATGTGTGTGTGTGTACATATACAATTTAATTCTGACATCTCACGTGATTTTTACTTCTTCAGGCTGTCTCCGGTCAGCAGCTTTGAAATACAATAGAATATATTACATTTGCTTCTCTCTGGTGGTTTCTTCTGGGGGAGGAGAGGGTTTGATGAAGGAAATTCGTGCAAAGCATCACGGGATCTGTGGCCCGAACGAATAATAGCGGAGGCTGGGCGGAGCCTGGTGAACCCACCCTAGGGACGCTCCTGAAGGTAAAGAGGGATGGCAGGTAGGGGAGCCCAGGGGCCGCAGGCATGTCTGGACACCTGAGCCTTCTCAACTCTGCTGCTAATTCTCGGGGAGTCCAGGGGTTCCCGTGGGGTGCCTCCTCCATCTCTCCTTCCCATCTTGTTCATGGGGGGGGGGCAGGTGGGAACAAAGGGTCTGCACTAGCAGAGGCTGGAGTGCGTCAGCTGCTGCCATCACCACAGCCTGTCATTCTCCACATTTTCAGAAGGTTCTAGAATTGGGAGCATGAAACTGGGGTGAGAATCTGCTGTCAGCAGTTGGGTCCTTGTGAACAAAGTGAGAAATGGAAGGTGATATGTGTGGGGGCATCAACAACACAAAGGGGCCGTGACTTTGGCTTTGGTGGTCATATCCTAAAAGGCCATAAGGTGGGAATTGCCATTAACACAGAAAATATTTATGGGGGACGAAATGCCAGATCCCAGCTTCCGGTGTTCTTTTTACACTTCATCACAGAAGAATAAAAAGATTTGGAGAAGCACTTGCTTTTCAACTTAAAATCAGAATTCAGACATCTTCACAGCACCTCTTCGCAATGTTTTAAGTTCTTCTGCAAGCCAAAAATAATTTCCAAACACTTGTTTAAAGTTTTAAAGGTTTCAGGGCTCTGCTTGCCAAATTTTTTATTTTTAAAATATTTTTTGATATTTATTTTTGAGAGAGAAAGAGAATGATGGGAGAGGGGCAGAAAGAGAGGGGGACAGAGGATCTGAAGCAGGCTCCGAGCTGACTGCACAGAGCCCAACGCGGGGCTCGAACTCAAACCTAGAGATCATGACCTGAGCCAAAGTCAGACACTTAACTGACGGAGCCACCCAGGTGCCCTGCTTGCAATACTTTTTAGTAAGTGATGAATTTGTCCTTATTTCATTACGTCTTGTTGATCCCCACCACCATCTTTATATCTCTCCCTCCATTTTTCCTTTTTATGTCTCTCTGCTTCTTCCCCACTCTACTTTCTCCACCCTCTTCTACTCTCCCCTTCTCCCCTCTCCCTTCCCTCCTCCCTTTTCCTCATGTAACTTTGGTGAGCCCTGAAGTCGTTCCCTGCCTGTCCTCTCTGAACAGAGGGGACATTATGGGACATTCCAGCTGCTCTCTGGGTCCTTCCTTTCTGTTCTCTCGTGTCCTGGTTCGACTCCCATCTCCTCTCAATTAGGGGTGGGGGACGTGTATCAAAGACCTCCTGAGGGCAGAGACACCCTGGGAAGAAGACTTCAACAAGGAGATGGAAGACCCTCTATAGCCGGGAATGGATGACAAAGTTAATTTTCCTGATACTAGGGTCCCAGCCTTCCCTGCTTTCTCCTGGGGCTCGTGGGAATACTCAGAAAGTCAAATGACTGCTCTCCAGTTTGAGAGCAAAGACAGTGGAATAGAAGCCATTCATTAAATGCACTTTCATTGAACTCTTCTAAGCCACTGGGATACTGGGGACAAACAAGAACAGTCTTCTTCCATCACGGACTGTCAAGTAGTGAGAG